ATCTCATTAGATATCCTACCTATAGGTATCACAAGGGTCTATTTTGAAAACCTGTTCGTTTCTGCATTAATATAGACACAGTATACTGCATATAGGCAAGCGTTGGGGCATTTTCAAAATATGCATTTCCCTGAAACTGTTTTTGTCGTTCAACTTTTCTGATTATGATAATCCTTTAAAGAGGAGTCTCTAGGCAACTACTAGGTTATAACTTCTGGATTTGAAAGTGGTCTATTTTTGCATAATCACTTAGAAATCCTGCTTTAGGACTTTGATTAATAAAGACCTTACTTGTGTTTGAGTCATGCTGCCTGTATGTTTGTTTGAGGAGGAATTATGAGCCTCTTAATTACTCCCATTATGTGGAAGTCCTAAATGCTTTTTGACTGTCGCCTTAGATTTTTGCCTTTAAAGCCTTAGGGGTATGTCTAGAACCACCTATAGGTAGAGGTTCTAATTCCCTTCAAGACTATTAAGAAGGGACGAGTAGCAGCATGCAATATGAGTCAGTGACCAAACACTCGCTTTGCATGTCCAATAGGGGATAGGAAGGGTAGATATGGGATATGATGACTACGCGTTAATGTCACGTGTAGCCCCTCATCGATGAGTGTTTACCGGACATTGCGTGGGGTGATCCTATAGGACAAACAACCTAGGACCCCTCTTTACCTAATCCTTTCTCTATTCAAAACTTTTATCTTCTACAACTTGTTTAAACCTTATCTTACTACTTCAATTACCCAACGTGCTTTATTTGCAAATTATTTGATTCAGCTATTTGTATGGACTAATTTGTAAATATAAGTTTGGTCGGGACCCACAGTTGTGGACCAAGAGGGGTGCCTAACACCTTTCCCTCGAGGTTACTTTGAGCCCTTACCCTAATCTCTGGTAATGCAAACTAGTTATATGAGTTAATCGCTCTAGGTACCCCTAACGCACCATAATCCATCAGGTGGCGACTCTTCAAATACCCAATTCCCAAAAGGAAACGAGTCATTACACCCCGTGGAATGTCGAAACTCGGACTCCTCTCCGCGAAGGGAAAAAAGGGGGCGCGGCACTCGGTTACGGGATAGCTCACAACATTTCAATGAAACATGCCTTAAAGTGCATCCAGATGAAGGCTCATGTTGCTCTTCTCTTATGGCTCAAAATCAAAATATTAGTTCTGTCAAAGGTTTTGTTGTTTTATACGATGCCCAATCGCTAAAATTTATGTGTCGGTCATCATTTTCTACTTTACTAATAGAACAATCAACAACTTTGTATGTGTAACGACCCAGCCGATCGTTTCATGAGTTACATCTCTATTTTCCCCGTTTCTGCTTTCTTCTGTGTTTTTCAGCTGTGTTTTATTGTATCATGTTGGTTGATTTGGGTTTGGAGTTTTGGAGTGGAATGAGGCACTTAGCCTCCTATTTAGAAGCTTAAGTTGGGAAAAGTCAACCGGATGTTGACTTATGTGTAGACAGTCTCGGAATGGAATTCCGAGAGTTGGAGTAGCTTCGTAGGGCCATTTGCGACCTGTGTACAAAATTTGAGAATATTCAGACGAGGTTTGATTAGTTTCGGAGTCATTTGTGGAATTTATGAGTTTGGAGTTCTTAGGCTTGAATCCGAGATTTTGATTCGATGTTGGTGTTGTTTTGAGTGATTCGTAGATTCAACTAAGTTTGAATGATGTTATGAGATATGTTAGTATATTTGGTTGAGGTCCCGAGGTCCTCGGATGTATTTCAGATAGTTATCGGAGGAGATTAGCTGCTGAAACATGTGTTGGGTTGCTAAGAGAAGTTGTTGGTGTTTCAGGGGGTTCTCTGAAGTTGAGAACGTGGACCGCTCCAAAAATTCGCGGTTAGCGATGTGTCTTTGCGGGGACGGCAGAATTCCGTGCTTAGCAGAGGAGGCTGGCACGGACAGCAGAATTTGGAGGCGCGACTGTAGGAGATGGCAGTTTTCGCGGCCATGGCGGAAAATTCGCGGACAGCGGAGTAAGTGGAGCGGGGAAGTTTCTTTTTGCACGGTCATCGGATTTGGGATCCGGGAAGTGCACTATAAATACGAGATTCAGGGTTTTGTTTTCATATTTTGACCTAGAAAGCTCGAGCTTTGGCGATTTTTTGAAGGTTTTTCAAGAAATTCATCGGGGTAAGTGATTCTAACTCGGTTTAGGCTAAAATACATGAATATATCATGGAATCCATCATTTGATTAGAGTATTGGGGTGAAAATTGGGGAAAATTTGTGGAACTTCATAAAATGAACTTTTGAGATTCGAAAGCCGATTCGAAGACGGAATTGAGTGAAACTAGTATGGTTAGTCTCGTAATCGAGTGGGTTGTCGGATTTTGTGACTTTGGTTGGATTTCGAGACGTGGGCCCGGGGTCCATCTTTTGAATTGACTTTTGACTTTTGGCCTTAAGCTTAGTAATTTCTTATGGGTTTGATTCCTTTAGCTCGTGTTGATTGTATCGAATTATTTATGGCTACATTCGGAGCGTCCGGAGGTTGATTTGAGGGGCAAGGGCATCGCGAAGTAGGATTTTGGCTCGTTTGAGGTAAGTAACGCTTCCAAACTTGGTTCTGAGGGTTCAAAACCCCGAACTATGTGCTATATGATTGTATTGAGGTGACGCACATGCCAAGTGACTAGCGTGTGGGCGTGCACCATGAGAATTGTGGCTTGGTTCATTCCATGGCACCGCGTAGTGACTCTTCCTTGCGGATACCATTATTTCTATCATGTGACTAATTAAATGTGCTGCAAATCATGCTAGTTACCCTGTTAGGGCTTTACGCCGATACTGATGAGACCCGGGTAGTTGTTTCATGCTGTCATATCACTAGATTCATTGATGTTATGTATTAAGTCTTACTCATGCATATCATATCATGTCTTAGTCTTAGTTGTTATTATTTGGCGCATCATATCATTGTTTCGGGCTAGTTTTCATGGCATTGTGAGCCCTTGAGTGATACTGGAGAGTGATGACTGAGAGAGGCCAAGAGCCTGAATGATGAGTGACAGTTATGGGTCGGGTTGCACGCCGCAACGGATTATTGATTATGCCTTTGTTGGCTTGTTATATCACTTGGGATGTAGGGTCCCCTCTGAAGTTTGCACACCCACAGTGGGCGCGGATGATATTATTGAGGGATGAATTTCCCTGGATATGGATTTGTCCGAAGTATTGATGTATGAAGATGAATTTTTTCATAGGGATGGATTTCCCTTTTTTCTCGGTACCAGGTGACTTATAGTCAGTGATGAGTATGTTCCGGGATGGATTTCCTTGGGTCGAATGGCCGTATGCGGTACCGAGTGGTTGAGTATTTATATATATGTACCTGGAGATGGATTTCTCCTCAGAGTTGGATTACCCTTGTTTCCTCGGTACTAGATGACTTGCAGTCAGCATTGTATATGTTCTAGGATGGATTTTTCTGGGTCGGATGGCTATATGCAGTACCGAGTGGTTGAGTACTTGAGAGTGGGAGCACATGGTGCATTTCACACATTCTATGCATCGGCATGTAGAGTTAGCCGAGCTTTATATTTTACATCGTTCACATTTGTAGTTATTTCACTGTTGAGCTGTATTCCTGAAAGATTAGCATGCCTACTTTACTGCACACTTATTTCTATTTTCTGTTGAGGCTACGTTCGTCACTACCTATCAGTCCAAAGGTTGGACTTGTTACTTACTGAGTTGGTGTACTCACGTTACCCCCTGCACCTTGTGTGCAAATCCACGTTACCACTGATCGAGGTTGCAGGCTTGGGAGGTTGTCGAGGTATCTACATGGTGTTTGCAGATCTTGATCCTCCTTCTCTATTCTAGTTGTGTTTCAGTTGTATTCAGTAAACATTATAGTAGACTATGTTATTTCTCTAGACGCTCACGTACTCCGTGACACCCTAGTTTTGGGCTGGTTGTTTTGTATTAGAAATAATGCCTTATGTTTTTTTTTAATAGTTTACTCAAATGATAAGTGCGTTTTTTCGCAAATGTTCTAAGTTCTAGTATTGTGGTTTGGATTACGTTGAGTTAAGATTGGCCTAGTTCCATGATAGGCGCCACTACGATGGGATGAGTTTGGGTCGTGACAGTATGACTCTGATGTATTCTTTTTATAGTACCGGTGGATCAAATGAAGAGTATCAGGTGTGTCGATGGAGGAGATGTGCAGGTGACGGAGAAACAAAAAAAAAGAAGGAAAGAAAATTAAAAGGAAGTGGGACCCACAAATAAAAATTATCTCTAAATTAAGAATATTTAGTACTCCGTTTCAGTTTACGTGAATCTATTTTCTTTTGGTCCGTTCCAAAAAGAATGACCCCTTTCTAAATTTGAAAATAATTTAGCTTAAACTTCTAATTCTACCTTTAATGAGAAGTTTTTATAACCACACAAATACTCTAGACCCCTTTTTGACTTGTTTTGGACCATATATTTCAAAAGTATTTATTTTTTTAAACTGTGTGCCTAGTTAAATAGGTTCACATAAATTGGAATGAAAAAAGTAATATAATGTTCAATAAGGAATGACACGTGTATAATTTTGAGGGTGTGGAATGCCTAAGTGAACGACCACTCAAAGCATTTTTGCTCATTTTGTTAACGGCATTTCATTTAAACAAAAACTATAACAAAGGATAAATGTAGACTATTTAATAAAGTACACGGATAAATCCAACATTTTTCTCCATTAATAACTGTGGAATAGTTTAAGAAATACTCTTTTCGTTTCAATTTATGTGAACTTATTTAATTGTGTATGAAATTTAAAAAACAAAGAAGATTTTTAAATTTGTAATGTAAAATAAGCTACATATATTTTATGTAATTATAAATTATTACATAAAAATAAATTATTTTTAAATAAAGAAAGTGATCATTCTTTTATTGCTCGGACAAAACAAATAGGTTAGGATCTTAAAAGTTTATGATTCACCCTTATTTATATGTTGCTTGGGCTAGGTCAGCCGTCAGCTCTGAAGCTCAGTTCCCTTCTTTCCCTATTCCTATCATGTGTGGTACTCCATTTTATATGCGGATGTTTCAGCATTCTTTGATAAGGGATCCGAGAGACCCAGTATACAAGAGCGTTATCGGTAAGATTGACCAAAATTCCTCTTTCCTTGTCCAGCCATTCCAACAGTTGATAACATTTAAGATTTGCGAATCTTTGTTTCTTTGTCCTCCTATCTCAAACCCACTATTTTCTCATACATCATCACTATGAACTAAGATTTTGTATGTATTGAGAAATGGTGTTTTTGATGAAGTGATGGTAAGATAGGAAGATGAGTAATCAAAGTATGGTCAAATCTTGATGTTAAATTAAACTGGTGGGATGCTTGGGCCAGGAAAGACGACTTAGGTCAAAAAAAGAATATGATAAATATGCTCGCAATTCCAATCTACTCGGTTTGTTTAATGATGATGAATGTTGTATGCTATTTATTAAAGAAGATGCTCTTCAATGAAGAAATTGTTCCACTTGGCTTAAAAAATCTGTCTCTAAATTAACAAAAAGTTAGTTTTGCTTGTAGCAGGTGTTAACAATTGCTGAGGATAAGTGGTAAAAAATTTAGAGTAACGGATTTATAGGTCCTCCAAGGATGTAATGCTCTTAAAGGGCACCCAGTGCACAAAGTATCTTGCATTCACGTAAGGTCTGGGAAGGATCGCACCTCAAGGGGTGTAATATAGACAACCTACCATAATGCATGCGTTAGTGGTTGCTTCTACGGCTCGAACTAGTGACCTACAGTCATATAGAAGCAACTTTACCGTTGTTCGAAGGCTACTCTAACGCATGCATTTTAGTTGAGAATTTACCATGCCATTCTGTATTTGGAGGATGTTTACTAAACAAAGAGAGTTTCAAAGTTTACAGAAGGATTTTAAATAATCACTTGGAGAAGGGCTAGGAGGACATAGCAGAACATTAGTTAGAGATGATGTTTTTGGATTTTAGTTCAGTTGACGTTTGAGAATTAGTTTGGTAGTATTTTGCTGCAACAGAAGCATTTTATGGCTTTCTCTTTCATGAATAATTAATGGGTGATTGTCCATCTGCCGGTGCTTTTGTCTTTGTGTATGGTTCGAGAGTGGGAGACTTATGTCTTAATTTGCCATAAAAGACGAATTCTTTAGCACTAGAATATTGAAAATATGAAATGTGCCAGAAAATAGTAGAATAGATACTGAGCATTCATATATTTGATTCAAGTTTGGGATTAAGGCAAAGTTGATTGAATGCACTGGTTTCACTTAATTGAAGCCAACTAATATTATTTGAACGTTTGTTAATGGATTGTAACAGTAGTGTTATGTAGAGAACAGAATAATCAGAGCAGTAAAAGATATGACTTTGTTTGAAGTACGGTGCTGAGTTTTTAAAATCTACGTCGGTTACTTACTACTACTGTGACCTGCATTTGTCGGAATGTCCATCTTCTCCCTCTTTGTGGAGAAATGGAGTTTTATCCGATCTCACCCTGTAGGTGGTTAATCATAGGCAGTATTTGGTATGGATGGATATTTCATATGCTCCTTCTGTGGATTTTTGAGAATGGAGTCTTACAATTCTGAGAGAACTTTAAGCTGGAACTGTTGTATTGAAGAAGTCTTGTTTGGATAACCACATCTATCAAAAGATCCTCAAGAAGCACTTTATCATATTACTCTGATCGAGCTGCAAGCTTTTTCATGTTCATAATCAAGGTCAATTTTTGGTGCAGTTTGTGATGTTTGGATATCTGTAGTTTCAACACACTTGCAGAGATATGTGCATCTGCATTTGATTTTATCTTCACTGCTAACTTAGCATTAAGATAAATTCCAGGGCTGCAATGGCGAGAAATGCTCGGGGTACAAAAGGACTAGGACTTCTATATCCATTTTTATTGTAGCTGGTCTATGCTGTTTCTTCTATTTGCTTGGGAGTATGGAAAAGAAGTGGCTTTGGGTAAGGAGATAGTGTAGCTCTATCTGTCACCAAGATTACTGAGAGCTGCAATATCCTACCAAATCTCAATTTGAGACTGGTCATGGTAGCCAAACTTCTAATATTGATGAGTCAGCAACGGAATTCAAAGAATTTAAGCCAAGTGATCCTAAATACACCGATTATACACCCTGTCAAGAACAAAGGCGTTCTATGACCTTACCTGGGTATGATCTACCATGAAAGGCATTATCCAACTCATGCAAGGAAGTTACAGTGCCTTATTCCAACGCCTATGGGAATGTTACCCCATTTCCATGGCAAAAAGCCGCGATTATGTTCCCTATGCCAATTCTCCTATGACAGTTAAGAATGCAATCAGAATTGGATTCAGTATGAAGGTGTTTTATTTTGGTTCCCTGAAGGAGGATCACAGTTTCTACAAGGGACAGATGAATATATATATCAGTTTGCTTTAGTAATCCCAACTCGAGTTGCGAGTGTATGTACTGCTTTGGATGCTGATTTTTTGGGGTATGTTCTTTTTACTGAGTAAACCTTTCTTATTGTAAAAGAGATCCCTCTTCTTTTCTTCCTATACATGAAAAGTTTCCCCTGTTATTCTTCTGGCTGTTCTGGCTAACAATGGGGTTTATTTATTTATTTATTTATTTTGGTGGGTGGGGGGTGGGGTGGGGAGATTATAGGTGTTCCTGCTGTTATTGGTGTCCTAGGAACAATCAAAATGTCATATCCATGTAAGGCCTTTCATTGTTCTCATTGTCTAATCACATGGGATGGAAACTGCTGTATGAATATTTGTGTTATTATTGAGAAAGCATAGTTGATAACAAATTAGATTTGGAAAGAGTTTCTTGGTTAAAATTCCAGAAGAGATTGTGACTCGCCTCCTTTTTTACATGTTTCCCTTATGTTTTGTAGAATCATTTACTTGTCTGGTAGCATCTCTTTGACTGTATATTTTATTCTTTCTTCATGCATATGGAATCTTCGATATATGGTGATATTATTAGAGCGCACACTACAATTATTCTGAACTCTAGTAAGCCTCCCCTTTCTGCAGAAGCTATAATAAAGGATTGACTGGAGTTCTTTTGTTGCACTTGGCATGTTATTATAAGTTATATTCAATGATGTATGCATTATGGTTGAAATGGATTTCTTTGCATATTTGATGTCACTTCTTGCTGACTTAGTTACCTTTACTATCAGTATGCCTAGTTCCAAACACCTTCAATATCATTGGCTTGTTGCATTCAAGGGTGTGACATAGTGGTTAATGAAGCAGACCGAGAATCACGATGTCTCACATTTAAATCTCAATGGAAGCACAAAATACTAGGTAATTTCTTCCTATCTACTTAAGCCTTGGTGCATGGTCAGAGTTACTTGGTATCTATGCTGGTGGAAGGTAGCAGGTACTCGGAGAAATAATTGCGGTGAGTACAAGCTGATCTGCCTGATCACCACCTCATCAAAAAAAAAAACAAAAAAAAAATTCATTAACTTCTTGTCATTTGTCTCTGTTTGACAGTTATGGCAGCCTAAATCCTAAATACTCTCGTTTATTAACAGATGGGCAATCTAGGTCAGTACTAAACTCTGTTCAAATGGTGCTCAATGGTTGTGGAACATATAATCATATGACAGCATGAATACCCCAGTCTGAAGCTAATTGCATAATGAGAACCTATGACAACCAGATGCAATATGAAGTTGCTTCTTGTCCAAAATTGAGTTCTTAATAAAATGTGGTGCAATGATTTGTAGCTGCTCACTGCTCAGCATACTTTCTCAAAATAAAATAAAATTATGTAGCTACTCAGTGCTGGGATTTCCAGAGAACTTAAAATCTTATGTCGTTTATTTAGTGCATTCCCTTACGACTATGATGTTTCCTCAGGAATTGCTAAATGGACTATTTTCTGGAGTTTCTGCTGAGGCATTTCTGGAAGACAGCAAGAAATGGAAGAAACATGCAAGTGCTTATAAAAATATCAACAAACTCATTGACACCACAGTGTTATGGACATGAACGCACGACTTAGGAGGTTTTGTTGTTGCACCACTGTCTCCAAAGTTGTGTAAAGTTATGTCAACAATAGCCAAGAAAAAATTGGGAGTTATCTGTGAATGAGGGACTGATCAGTATCTATCATGACTGATATGGTCTTCTTTCATATGTTCTATCATAGTGTTATCTAGGATGCTTGTGGTGTTAATTTCTTTCCGATGCTTCTAGATTGTTTTTTATGAATACTAGTTGTATCTTGCTTTCCTTGAGTCGGGATTTATTGGAAACAACCTCTCTACCCCCACAAGGATAGGGACAAGCAGACTAATTTATACTCAAAGTTATCAATGACTGGTAGGACTTTTAAGAATTGATTCCGGATGTTGGATTTGGGAATTAGAAGGCAGTTTGGTCCCTTTTACTTTCAGCAATTGGGATATTCCCAATGTTATGTGTTGTCTCACGAAATAAGAACTTACTCGCAGGTTGAGCTGAATTTGAGCTGGTTAAGATGGGCTGAATCATTAAGTAGGTCATTGTCCAATCATGTTCAAAGTCCACTTGGGCTAAATGGATTGGGTCAAGATGGGCTAAACAATGGTTCATAGCGCAACTCGCCCAATTTGACCCATCTTTTATACATTTTGGGAATCTAAATATATCAATATACGCTTGTGTGACTGCAAACACTCTCGCATATGTTTTGAAAATCAAATCTAAATACTTTTTGGATATAAAAGAAAAACTCAATTGCAGATTGTTTGACTCAAAAGATATTGAAACCTTTTTTATTAAATCAATTAAAGAAGATGAACATGTAAATCTTAGTCAAACATAATAAATTCCAGATCTATAAGCTAATCAGAAAATAATGCATAAGACGAAACAGTGAAGATCAATCTTATTGATGTTTTTTATTTCTCGTCCCATTAATCGGTGGAGATAACTATTTTACATCTTTCATGGAAGACTTCCTAGTTCTCTGTTTGCTTAGAAGATTACGGTGGAGAGAGAAGAGAAAGAGATCCAGCCCCCCTTCTAAGAAGGTTTCCCCCCTTTTATATAGTTATGGAATCTTTGATATGTGCTTGGTTCGATACACTTTCATACTACGTCCGCTTTCGTCGTCCCCTGAACCTTGCTTTTTGACTAGGTGGGTATTGTACGGGATTTGGAGTAAACCATGTCATCTTCCACTGTCTCGCCGCTTGGACGGGGTTTCGGTTGGATCGACAGTAGCGGTCAGATTTTGATCAATACAGTTAGTCCCTCCGTCTGCTGGGGTCGTCCCTTGTCGGGCCTGGCAGATGGACTATGATTGTTGCATATATGAGAAAAATCTGACTACCTACCCCTTGGGTATGATCCTTAGGCTCAAGTAAGGTAACGACGCCCTTTCGATATCGTTGGACCGTTGCGGCTGTTTCGGAACTGAAACGTTGTTTGGCTTGAAACGTTGTTCGTGGTTGCCGCAATCATGACACACGTTCCCAGGGAATTGAAACGTTTCGTGCCCTATCAAATTCGATTGGCGACTCTTGGGTTTCGTGCTTGGGGGATTTATGTTTCTTATAAATAGAAGGAATACATCCTTCGATTGACACACTTCTTTGCCCTTTACTTGAAAGAACTTTGCGAATATTCTTTCCTCCTGATACTTCGGATTTTCAATTTTTACCAGTTAGCCGAAAACTTTCATCTTTCCTTTTCTTTATCCCTTTGCTTTACCAAATTGGCACAAATGGCTGGTGATTCTTTTCGCGCTGACCTCCTTGTCACAATTCCGGTGCCAGAAAGCGATATTCTGGCCACTGGAGGAGCAGAAGTGGTAGAGGATGAGGAGGTCCCGTTGGTGGCCGAGATCTTGCCTCACCCTGGGAAAGCATGAACTGACTTCTACAGTCCCGCCGGGGAGGAGCCGGAACCTGCTCCCTCTGTTATAAACGAAGAGGGGATCGCAGAATTGAAGGCTAGGTGGGAAATTCCTCGCTACGTCGAAATATTACCGGCAGTGGGGGACGACATAGTCCATTTTGACCGCCTAGGGTATTGCGTGTTCTACGCCTATCCCTTTATTGTTGGATACATGTTTCCTCTCCCTCTCTTGGTGGTAGATTTTTGTCGTTTTTACGAGGTATGCCCTGCTCAACTTTCGTCGTACCTGTATAAACTGTTCTTTATGCTGCTCAAGTTTGCGGAGCTCGCCGGTCGTGAGATCACTTTGGGGCACATGCTAAATATCTTCGCCCCTCAACTCATTCGCCGCACGATGATTCACATGCGCCATCGAGGGTCGAAGAGTCTGGTGGTGAAGATGGACGACAGGGCTAACCCTCGCTTCTACGAGAATTAGTTCTATGTGCGGACCAAGCACCTTGTGGCGGATCCTACGGGGTTCCCTGAGAAGTGGAACTTCGCACGTGAGTTTCTATACTTTTAGTCGGAGAGATGTCCGACCGCTTTCCGTTGGGTAGTACTAAACTGTTTTATGTTTTTACAGCTGCGAAACTACCCCCTGCACCTGTTGAAGGTATCCACGAGTGGGTGAGTGCCATCCTTCATCATACTGCGGGGGTCCGCACATGGTCGACCTTCTATGAGAAATATGGACGCAAGCCCCTTACAGGTGAGTGATATCGTTTTTGTTCGCTATTCTTTCCCTTTCCCTTTTTACTTAGTTTCTTATGTGATGTTCGTCGATGTCAGGGAGAGTGTGTAGAGCGAGGGCTCCTCCACTAGATTTTCGCCAGCTTGCATCGTCTGCTCGCCCTGCTGCAGTGTCTACTACTCGACCTTCATCGAGGGCTGCTTCAGTCGAGTCTACGGCTGTGGTCATACCTACGGAGGCCACCCATCAAACTGAGACCCCGACCCATGCCGCCTATCCAGCTGGTGAATCTTCCCGTGCCGAGAAAGGAGAGGGGCCGTCCAAGAGGCGACGAGTAGAGTCCGGGACAACACCTCCGGCTGTGATACATCTGGGNTTTCTGAGGCCGCTGTTGTTGTTTCTGACGGGCCTTCGTCCCCAATACCTGGTCGTGCTTCCTCCTCGGTCGCTGGAAGGGGAAATGGTGTCGTGGTTGATGACTACGAATCTGAGTCCAACCTCGATCCCGATGATGTTAGGATGTTTGAAGAGAGTTTTACCCGTTTGGTAGTTCATGCGGGAGGCCCGTCTCGTATTCTTGAGATCTCATCGGATATTAATCTTCTGGGGGACACGGAGGACCTGGTGCCGTAGTTCGACATTTTATGTTCTGCTGCCGAGAACGAGGCTCTTCGAAACGTTCCTAATATTGATCTGATGCACGAAGTGGCTGCTATGGGCTTGAGAGTACGTTTCGCCTTTCTTTCCTGTTCCTTTTATTTTTCTAGATGATATGGTCTTGACCTATCTTTTCGTTTTTCAGACGTACATGGTGGAAATTGAGAGTGCTCGTACGGCCGACATTCGGGCCAAGATTTTCCTGAAGATGTTGGATAAGTATCGGTGCTATCGCAAATAAGTGCCATGAGATGCACGAGCGACTGAAGGCGAACCCTGGTGCTCGATCCCTCGGCGAGGAACTAGAGAAGAGGGACCAGCAATTGATGGAGGCTATTCGCAGAAGTAGCGTGCTCGAGGAGCAACTTCGTGCGAAGGAAGAAAAGCTTGAGTTAGGTAAAGGGGTTGTTGTAGAGTGTGAATACCTTCAGGAGAAGCTGAGGTCGATGCAGTATGAGATGGATCAGAATCTTATCAGGGTCGAGGCAATGAGCGCAGAGTGGATAGGAAAATTGGCAGAGTTGGAGAGAAAGGTTGTCGGGTTGGAGAGTATCGAGAGTGCCTGGTCGTCAGCTTCGGCAAGGGCGGCAGCTCTGGAAAACACTATCCGCGTCCTCCAATCTGAGCAGGAGTCGGAGAGGGAGACGACCACACTAAGGGAGGCATGGCTCGAGGAGCGCATTGGAGAGATCGATCGAGAGCCTTAGGGGACTGGGTTGCTGCTCTCGAGGCCGAAAAGGAACAACTGTTGGCTCAAGTCGAATCTTCCTCCGCCGCTGTTCCCCATCATTTGCACGAGCTTTGGGTTCATGCTGAAGCCCAGTGGGACATCTATAAGAGTTTGTGGGAGGCAGGAAATGTTACCGAGGCCGCATATGAAGGAGCACAGGCGAAGGCACGAGAGGCTCGTGTTAACTACTGGTATGACTCTGCAACGTCGGAAGCTGATGAGGGCGCGGTCAATGAGGGGGGATCTCCCGGAGATGGTGCCGAATGAAAGAATTGCTATCTTTGTTTTTTTTGTTGTTGTTTATTATTTTTTTCTTGGACTCTGTTGGTTTTAGTTGTAGCTAATCTGCGGCTTTTTGCGCAGTAGCTCTGTATATAGAGGAATTTTCCATTGTTATATGCCTTTTGTACTTCTTTTCTTGTTCTGTTCTTCATAATTTTGATGCAAAGTAGATTTCCGCGTGATGATTTACCGCCTCTCATGGAATTTTAATGTCACACGGGTTGAGTAGAGCCTTGATGACGGCTTTGGCTGATAGGACGCTGCTTTTCACCTTGCGCCCAGGTGCTAGCCTATCGTAATCCGAATGGTGCCAAATTCTTTTCCTAATAATGACCTTAGCCGTAGGGATGTTACTTTCGAGCTTATATCGAAGTATTATCCCATAAGTCCCAGTTTTCTTCGGCGATGGCCTTCGGCCTTAAGGGTGTTATTTCGAACTTTCGTCGAAATATTAACCCGTCGTTATTTGATCGAGGTTGAACTCTTCTTTATGGTGAAGGCTGTCACACCTCTTTTTTCACCTACACCCCCGGAGAGGGTGTGTAAAGGAGTTTTTTTCCAATTTAAAGTGACAATCGAAACAGGATCATTTTATTAAAAATTCAGAGTCGCCACTTGGGATAATTTATGGTGTCCCAAATTACCGGTTTAGAATCCCGAATCGAGGAAAAGATTGACTCTGTATTACAATCTACGAATCAGAAATCCGAGTAAGGAATTCTTTAACCCGGGAGAAGGTGTTAGGCATTCCCGAGTTCCGTGGTTCTAGCACGGTCGCTCAAATGTTATTTTTGGCTCAATTATTTGATTTTAAAACACTTTTAGACCTATGTGCGTTTTAACTTTAACCGTTTTTATTCATTTTTTAGAGAAAATTGCAACGCTATTAAAACACGTCTCAAACCATGTCACATAAATGCACCCGTGGTCTTTGACATATTTTAACATCGTTGAGATTTGGATTTAGGTCACATAAATGCGCACCCGAGTTTAGGAAGGTAATGTTATTTAATGACGCACCTAAAGCAGCTACGCATTTTTAACTTTGCGAGTGCCATGGAAATTTGCTAA